TAACAGAAGATGGGCATCAGAGGGCCACCAGGGGGCGCCCCCCCCCATCCTCGTGGCCAGGGTGTGGCCCCCTCTGGAACTTTCTCCGCTCAGTATTTTTTATTAATTCCAACAAGGACTTCTGTGAAGTTTCAGGACTTTTGGAGCTATGCAGAATAGGTCTCTAATATTTGCTCCTTTTCCAGCCCAAAATCTCAGTTGCCGGCATTCTCCCTCTTCATATAAACCTTGTAAAATAAGAGAGAATAGGCATAAGTATTGTGACATAATGTGCAATATCAGCCCATAATGCAATAAATATCGATATAAAAGCATGATGCAAAATGGACGTATTAGATGGCGTCGAGGTGGGCGGCGAGGACGAGGCGAGATCGACGTCGACGAGTGGAGGAGTGTCTTCCCCAATGACCCCGACGACGGCACCCGCCCGAACCCAGCTCGCGGCACACCATACCTCACGAGGAAGGATTGACTCGACCTCCACTTTGACCGAAAGTAGTTTAGTTTAAATTTATGTTTTATGTTTGATTATGCAAAACTATCTATGTTTATGTTTGAATGCATACTACTTGCGGTTGAACCTACTTTGAACTCGATCAAATTGAAGTTTACAACGTTAAGGTTAGGGGATCGACTAGAAACGGCCAAAAATTGTTGGAGTATATATATACTCCACTAAGGGTTTTAGTCCTTTAACATTTAGGGGATCGACTAGAGATGGTCGTATGCCTTGTTTGTTTCAGTTCTTCACAATGTGATGCTCTATATGTGCAACTATTTGTCATGTAGTTCAATTTCATCAATAACAGTTTCAACAATACCACTATGAATTATGATATTTGGTTGTTGTTAAGGATGTTGCAGTTAACACACCTTTTCATTTTTTAACAATAACTAGTGTACTTTAGACCTGCACAATACCAGTTTGAATGACTATATTTACTTGTTTTTAAATGTTATGCCTGATGCAGTTAACACACCTTTCCACTTCTTTTTTTGCTTAACTAGTGTGCTTAAACCTACACACTGAAGCTATCATTTGTAGATTATGTTGTCTATCATGGATATATTTGGTTGATGTTTAGCCTGTTGTGCTTAACATGCCTTTACATGTACTCATACAGGACAATGTTGAGAACAGCTGTTGTTTTCCATCGATGTTAGTTTCATCGCATTGCTTATATATACTCACTATTCAGGATATCGGTAGCTGGTACCATATAGCGTGGGGCTGATAAGGGATTAATCGTCGAATCGGACATTTCACTGAATATATCTGTAACCCATTTATCGGTAGGTTAACTGGGGTCATATTTCATATATTTGAGGCTACATAGCAACATGCATTGTATTGAATGACTAAATATGCAATCCCAGGCTACATAGCAACAAGGAAGAGTGTTACCTTAATGTTCTGACGATGTCTAGATATACATGTAATAAGATCTTATATAATGGGATGGAGGGAGTGTTGTACTACATTATTTTGCAATTGTTGTTCAGCTTCTCATATTAACTTGGTGATTTTAGGTACATATGTCATTGCCAAAGATCCACACTTCAACCCTTTCTGTGTATGGGGCAATGAGATATTCATGAACCATTATCATGTGAGGAAAATGATAAAGATTGTTATTAAAATGGGTCGAAAGATGTCAATCGAACTATTTTTTACACTTTATGCAAGACAGCAGTGAACTGTCGAATGGTAAATAAGAACTTTGTAGCCTTCTTTTTACTGCCCGTAATAAGGTGTGTTAGATGACAATGTCTGAATCTTTTTCCTTTGTAGTGGATACTGAAGCAGTTTACTCAAGATTACCCCTCAAACTACATGATTGGCGGCCGACCATCATAAGTTGCTGGACTAGAGTCGTGTGTGCCTGCTGCATCGAGGGGGGCATAATAGGGCCATTCATTTTCACCTTGTTCAGCAATCAGAATGTCTCTCGCCTCTTTCTTTACCATCTTTAATAGTTCAAGTATACAACCCTGGTTCATCATTCTTTATTTGCTGCTTATGTAATTCTTAAACATATGTACCTATGAATTGAATGATGCATTGGTTGTTTGAACCTGGTGGATATGAATAAAGCTATAGCCTAGTTTCAAATTCAAATTAGGTATAATTTTAAATAGCAGCAGCTAAATTAGGGTGAAATTGCGCTCTGCGGGTCATCACGGCGCACACGGTCTATAAAGCACATCGTGTGTGATATACATCATAATCTGACATAGTTCATGGAGAGGAAACGTGTGTAACCATGCACACAGTTTCCGTTTGCAAAGCGTGTGTGATGTCATACAATATCACAAACGGTGCGGGAAACTAAATGTGTGTGATTGTCGACCTATCATACATAGTTTACAATCATGAACTGTTTGTGATGTGCCAGGCATCATAAACGTAGAGCCTGTTTGGTACGTGCCTGGAATGTGCCTGGACTGCGCCTGGTTTTAGATAAAATCACAGAAGTCCAACTGCAATGGCAATGCGAGCACAAACGAGTTGTAAGGATGAAGCGTTTGGGATATTCGAGATATCAAAAACAATTTTATAGGGACAACTGTATGTATCATGGCTCCCTATCCCCGACGGTTTTTGGGTCGTGTGGGAAGGACCCCCCTATCGCACACACTCACTTGGTGATGGTTCAAAATGTCGTTGCGGAAAGGGGTTAAAAACATTTGTATAGCTCCTCGTTGTACCAGTGTTAAGATCATCGAGAGTATATCCAATTGCAACACGATGCTTCCTCGGATTTTTAAGTAATCTTTTTTTATCATGCACTGAAAGGTTAGCATTGATAGTAACATGATATATCTTCTTTTCATCAAGATAAGCATATTTCTATGTATCAGGAAGTTTCTTTAATTCAAACACAGGGTCACTCTTAGGTGGTAGAGGATCTCCTAAAGTTTCAATAGGCAAATTATGTTTAAGGATAGGTGTTTTCCTAAATAATATTTCATCTATCTCATTTGTTTCATTCATATGCATATCATTTTCATGGTCTAGCAGATATTATTCTAATGGATCAGTAGGAGGCACAATAATAGAAGCAAGATGAATGATTTCATCTTTACTAGGCAATTCTTTATCATGAGGTTGTCTATTAAACTTGGAAAAATTAAATTCATGAGATACATCACCAAACTTAACACTAACCTTCTCTTTAGTACAATAAATTTCAATATTAACAGTATTCAAGAAAGGTCAACCAAATATAATAGGACAAAAATCATCTTGCGGTGATCCAAGAACTAGAAAATCAGTAGGGTATTTGATCTTATCATACAAGACTTCAACATCTCTAACAATCCCAAATGGTGAGGTGAAACAGTATCTCTGTTTTCAAGCTTAATAGTAATATCAATATCTTCTTTTTCAATAGGTGCAATATCATGCATAATTTCTTGATATAAAGTAAATGGAATGGCGCTTACGCTAGCACCCATATCACATAAACCGTGGTAGCAATGATCTCATATCTTAATAGAAAAACATGCATGCCAACAACCAGCTTACTCTTATCTAATTTATCATGTTTAGTATTAACTTGTTTAGCGATCTTGATTGCTTCCTCATGTAAATAAATGGCATGTCCATCAATATTATCAATCAAGAGATTTTTAACCATTGCAATATTAGGTTCTACTTTAACTTGTTCAGAGAATTTAGGTGCTTTAACATACTCTTATGAATCATAGTTGTAGTTTTAGCATGTTTCTTAATCCTAACAGGAAAATGAGGTTTCTCAATATAGAAGGTGGGTACAACTGGATTAGCACTATAAGCAATAGTTTCAGTTTTAGTTATAACAGGTTCCTCACAAATTTCTTCAATAGAAGGATGAAACTTAAAACACTTCTCCTTAGGGAGATCAACATGAGCAGCAAATGTTTCACAGAAAGTAGCTAATATCTCAGAGTCAAGTCCATATCTTGCACTAACCTTATGTAAAACATTCGTTTTTATAAAATACTTAACACAATCATATCCAAGATTTATACCTGACTCCTTACCTTTATCAGATCTCGTATCCATGTCCGTGGACTGCTACCCCTATCCGTGAACAGATGCATTGCCTGTTTGGCGTCAACTGCCTAAGAACATTTCTAGCAGATCCGGTATACACCATCCCGCAAAAATTGGTTTACAAGATACCGCAAAACATTTTTTCAGTGTGACTTTTGCTCCGGCAGAACAGATCCCGTAAGAATATTTCATGGTCTCGACAAATTGCACAAACCCCCCCAAAAGACGCCCACTAAATTACAATTGGGTCCATCTTCCTCGTTGCATCCCCTTCGCGCTTGGGCAAACGGGCTCGGCGGCCATGGCCAACACGCTATGCAACAGCGTGGCGGCGCCGTGCGGGGACATGGGTGCCGCGGCCACAAGGAGCAGGCAGTAGCGGTGTCGGCGGCAGAAGCTAGCTAGCTAAGCGTAGCTGGGGGCTGCACCTCGCGGCTCGAACAGCGGGGCTGCGGCGGCAGCTAGGGTCCGGTGGTGGCCAGCATCGAGGCACTCCGGTGAGGTTGTGCTCAGGGAAGACCATGGCGGGAGCTGAAACTTCCCTCCCGCCAACCGTTTCTATGTTTTGCAGGTTCGTGTAAAAATGAGTTCAAATCCTGTAGATATGAAAAAAAAGGCCATGGTTTGGAGGATCCCTTAAAAACAAATCTAGAGAATGTACTGAATCTGTTTCGGGTGGCAAATTAGTCTTCGTCCTGCAAATCAACGGTTATTTTGTCAGATGGCCCGGTTTACAGGATCCGCTAGAGATGCACAAGAAAACTTGATCATAGACTACTGTACATAGGTAGGCTCTGTTTTTCTTAACAAGGTGTACATAGCTAGCTTGTCCTGCGTTAGCCACGACTAATCAGGTACTGGTAAACTAGTTGAGCATTCAACTCGTATCTTGCGCGTATGCCGTTCAAATAGAGTTCCAGCTCCGCGCTTCCGCCCGCTTCCTTCCCACCGGCGCCGCCGGCTACGTGGCGACGGCCGTCCAGTAGCTTGTCATGCAGGCGCTGGCGGGCGTGCCGATGATCCGCGCCCACTCCCACCCGCTGCGACCCTCCGCCGCACGCCGCAGCTCCGCCAACTGCACGCCACAAAAACCAAAGCTCCGGTAAGCATTCATTCACCCCCCTGCTGCACCTGCACACACGACCGTCAGCCTTGCCTTGTTGCTTACCCGGCCGTCGCGCAGCTCGAAGACCACCGCGTCCTCGGAGAACGGCACCGGCCGCACGGCCGCCACCTGTTCGTCCAATTGCGTAGGCGTCATTAGCGACCCCGTACCAATTACTACTAAGTAGCAAGCGAAGAGGACGAGAATGACACCGCCGCAGTCAGCTGCAGGGTGCCGAGGTGTTGTTTTGCGGGGCTGACCTTTTCGTCGCAGCTCCCCCTGAAGCTGCTCGCGTAGTGCGCGTCCGCGGCGCCCAGCGTGGCGCAGCTCTGCTCGCCGCCGCCGGCAACGTCCGTCGTCGTGCTGGATGGTTCCGACGGGTGCCCGTGGCTCGTCCACCTCCACGTTCGCTCGTCCAGGTGCCGCAGGTAGACGTGTCCGTCGGACCCGATGACGAACAGCTGGGTGCCGTCGAAGCACGACCCTGGGGCGACCACGAGGGTCACGTCCCGGTGGGGCGTCCCGTGCTCTACCCACTCCCATCCGTCATGCGGGCTGAAATGGTACTCCACGAGGCCCCCCTGCTCGGATATCATGAAGATGGAGCCGGTGAGGGAGAGAGGCGACGGCCTCATCGCTGTCCCAGGGGATCTTGACAGGACGAGGTGAGGTGATTGGTAGTGCCTGTGCCATAGCTCTGTAATTCTGTTATACTGGTACATCCGATCGTTCCGGCCAACCACGAAGATGATATTTCTTCTAAACACCTCCTGATCCACGATGAATGCAACCTTGGTATCGGGAGGGCTGTGGCAGTCCTTCCACTTGAATTTACGCAATGCCACCTGAAAAGGTTTAAAACAACTTCTATTTTTACAAGACTAGTCAAGCAGCTTAAGGACAAAACATTATGTAATTTGGGATTATTATTTTTCCAGGTGAATATGTACTCTTAAACTATTTTGAGAGCAGAGCACATTTGAATGATGGTGTTGTTTGAGGAAAAAAAAAGGATAACCACTAGCCTCCCCCTTTTTAGTGTGAAGGAGGGAAGAACAGAAGGGTGGTTGGTTCTCGATTATCATGACGATTTGTCCTAAATTTGTTAGAAGCTCACGTTTTAAACATGATTGCACCTGTAGTTAATCCGGTCATGATTCTTAACACTTTTGAGATATCGCTGATATGTGTATTAAAACTATTGCATTGGCCATATCTACCAAGTAATTGCGGAAAGATCAATCTACTATAAACTACCTATCCTCTGGAACATTAAAGGATATGAAGAAAGAGTGGTTTGCTGCATTTCTTGTGATGCTGAATTTTGTGTGCACGTGTTCCAGTTCTCTAGCTATACTCCTACCTGTGAATTCTTAACTACTTATGTACTCTATAGGTTAATGCATGCTTCGTATACATGGAATTATCTTGAGTAGAAGATTCGTAATTTCTCATATGGAAAATAGAAAAACTATTGCTCATTGGTCATTGCCATGCAGCGTCTTTTCTTTTTTTGAGGAGATACGCGGGATTTTAGGCAGGGGATAGCAAAAAAATGGCTTTTGCTCATAAAGGTGCATGCGTTTAATCTTGGATAATGCAATATCTTGTATGAAAATGCACATTTTATCTTTTGTATAATAAGACAACCCCGGAAGCCCGGTGCACGTAGCTCCCGCTTGCGCGGGGTCCGGGAAAGGGTCCGACCAGTTTGGGTCTTTTGTATGAAGCCTTTCCCTACATTTCTGCAAGAGGCTGTTTCCAGGACTCGAAGACTCGAACCCATGACTTCATGGTCACAAGGCTCCCCTTCCATAATAAGGCAAACATTTAGTGAAATTAAAACATGTTTGGACTTCTACCGTGAATTGTAGCAATCTGCCTCTCTTGTTAACAAAGAAAAGTGCATCATCTGTTGTCACTCTGCGTGATAACCCAGGGATGCCATCCCATGGAGGCCCACTTGCAACCTGTCTTCCCTTCCTCATTGCTGTGCAATTAATCCATAAGAGTTCGTCACCATTTCTTTCTCTAATATGCAAGTTCCCATGAAGATCGACAAGATACAAGCTGCCATTATAGCTTCCTAGTGTACCCTTCATGCCTGTAATGTGTTCATGTCTTAGCCATAGCCAGACACCATTGCTGTTTAGATATTCCAAAGTTAATCCGTTATCTGTTATGAGGAAAAGTGATCTATCTGCATGCATCACCCGCATATGGAAGTTAAGATAAATGCTTCGTGATAGAATGTTGTATGATTCAGTTTCATCACTCTCATGACTATGACCATGCAGGTAGTGTTGCTTCTCTTCTGCTTTACGCCTTCTAGGTGGGGCATTGCTCAGGTTGGTTGGTTCCGTATCTGCAGCTACATTCATCGCTCCAGTAATACAGTTTGTAGGGCCATGCTCTTCAGTGCAATATTCTGCATTCCAACCTTCTGTTTCTGGTGTATCTAGGATAGACCACTCATACTTGTTTGGCACTTTCCTTCTTATGCTATTTTGTTGACTTGGACCAAAATGACCACCTCCCATGCCAGGTAAATGTAGCTCTCCAAGCCTACCATCATCTAGCTGGAATATCAATCTGCCAACTTGAATCTGTAGACCTCGAACACTTGCTGCTACTTTTGCATGGTCAGGAGACATGTGATTTACCCATAGTCCTCTAATCTTATTGCTTGAAGCCCCACCTTGTCCAATGGAGAAGATAAACAATGTCAACTTAGTTTCTTCTTGGAACTTAAAGAATTGCTGTAGTAAGAATTGAATCGATTGGTATTTTGTTCAGAAAAGATTACATGCAATGATATGGTCCTAGGCGAGAAGTTGAGAGTATGTCATGTTTATTGCTGACAAAAGAATAGTATACAACATCGTATCATGACCTGAGTGCGGCATATGGGCTTAAAGAAGAGTTTATTGCTGCTGATTCACTTTACTTGAAGGACATCCTATCTTGAACTAGCATATTCATAACTATGGTTCATTTTTATCTTTCGACTCCAGGAACAATTCAATATAATTACGTAAATTGTTCTGCTATGTGAAGTTCCTTCAAATTCATCTTGTTTTCCAGCATAGTGTAACTTGAATTCTGAGACTTATAGCCAATCATAGCGATACACTTATCCACTTAGCAATTTATTAAAGCTTTATCAAGCAAGTAATGAAAGCTACTAGCTATATACATTGCTTTGATGACCTCAGTCACAAAAGAATAAAGATGTCCAAAGTCTAAGGAAGGAGTTTCCACCTGTATATTTTGGAAACTGATACTCAAATACTTTTCCTGTGGTTGTTGTAAAAAACATTGAAGTCGCATCATTAGATTCATCCTGTTGAACTTCTGTAATTGAACTTAGTCTTTGACCCTTAGGTGCTCCATGTTTATCCCACTTCCACTTTCTTCTATGCAAGCGCCGCTCCACTAAAAGACCATCCTGCCAATCTATAAACACCTTTAACAACTGAATATATCACAAAATAAATGTTATTTTAATGGATCAGAATCCCTAGGGTCATAGACATGACAAAATCATACTACAATAGCTAGCAAACTTTTTTTTGTAGTTCTTTTCTTTTCAAATTATCTATAGTTAGTCGATAAAGCTTGTTGTTAGTTTCTGTTCAACTGTGTGGATGATACTTGTTGCACTGTTATGGTTAACTTAGAACCATCATAGTTATCAGGAACACACCATATATTGTTCCCAAATCATAAAAAGCGAGTTCACCTTTGAAATGCATAATATGCAAATGGGTAATGTTGCCTTGTTAGCTTTAATCCAGCAATAAATTGCTTATGATAATACAGATTCTTACATACCTTGGTTATCAGAAAGAGTGATACTGAATTAGAGCCTAAGAGACCATGCAAAGCACACCCAACAGATGAGCTCAGCGAGACATTTTTGGTTGTTTGTTCACTCCATATATGCTTTTTCCATGATGGCTTCGTTTCCTTATCAAATTCATATAGGTCTCCAGTAGAACTGCACTGCATTATCCCATGTTAGCATTGGTGTGCATCAACAGTATATCAAATCTTGAACTAACAGCATAAATGAGTATAGCGTTGTCTTGTACGAGAAAGTTGATATATTTATTGTTTAACTTGTCCTCCTAATTATGTTTAATGGAACGACTGAGATATGGGTAGAAACTATGTTACGGAAAGTTGGAGGAATACGTTTGATATTCCTTGAACCCTTTTGTTTCAGTCATTGACCAGTATAGGAGCAAACTGAGACTTCACCGAACAAATCTTTTCCTTCTAGGGTAGGTTGAAAAGGTACCCCCAACCCCCACCCACCCCCTCATATCCTCAAATGCACATGCTAAACATACCTTACTGTGAACAAGGTCCCTGGTCTTGCATTTTCAGCATCAGATATATATGATACATCTGCTCCTGGGGGACGCCCATGGCAATTCCACCTATGCAGCAGTAGCATTCAACCATTATTTCATTTGAAGCCATGGTAGTAGTGATAAAAGAAGTTGCAAATAGTGTGATTTCTATAAATAGGTTATAGGAAATTCTGCAAATTATTTTTATTCATTCAGTTAACCAAACCTTCTGCGAAAACTTCAAAAACACTGTTGGCATTTTCTAGTCAGGAAAAGAATATCTTAAAATCATCAGCCCTTTATTCTACCATGCCATCGTGTTTTAAGTAATTATGGATCTCTTAAAGTATGTAATATAGCTAATATTTCTTTTGAACACATTTTCCATGAATATAGTATTTCAGGATATACATAACTAATGATGGAACACACATCATTGGCCCCATATACGCATTTAACCTTGTATTAGAATTTTAAAGTTCAAAGCAGAGAAATAAATAGAAGAGGTTGCAACCTGCTCAACAGTAGGCCTTTATACCTGTGACTCACAATATTATAATAGGAACATCTACTCGACCCCCTGAGTTATTTTTACTATTATAATGTGGGTCCAGCACATAAATAACTTATAAATATTCGCCTTTTCTACTGATTTTTGTGTGTAAATACCACTTCCTGGAAAGAGGATCAAAATATCTATACCAAGATCAAATATGATCGCCAGATTTATCTACATATTAAATTACATGTGTATTGATCCACTATATTTTAAGTCAGCAACAACAAATAGTCATATGTGAAAGCTTTTGGTGGGTTTCTTTTCTGTGGTTTACGTTTGAATTTTGAGCAAGATATTACAAACATGCAAGAGGATGAAGTTGAGTTGTGCTGACTCATACCTTAGAGGCTGAAGTTCTGTGACCTCAATTAGGGACCCATTCGTGATAGAAAGGAAAAGTTTCCTGATTGAGAAAGAATAAGTTCTTTCAACCATTGTTTGTTGGTAATTCCAAATTGACTAGATACCCGCATTTTATGCGCAGATGAACCTTACAAGGAAGCATTAGGGCAGATATTCACCTTCCATTATGTGATACGACCCCATTTTTTATGTGTGTAGCTTGACTTTGTGTCTTCTCTTCAAGGTTTGTGAAATGTTGTTCATAGCTGAATGTCATCTCAGTCCAGATAGGCTGGGCATGTTCATTTAGCTGTAGCTGAAAAGATGTAGAGTAGAACTATTAGAGTGAAAGCATAATAGCAACTTCTTTTTTTCTTGAATGGGCAGTATTAGAAGAAAACGCCGAGATGGCAGGGGTCTTACAAGGGGGAAAAACCGAAAACTGAAAAGCTTACAGCGACTAATTTGTTTGCAACTGAATTCATGCAGAAGTCTATTTCACTTGACGATATAGGATTTATGCTTTGCTGGATAGGATAGATAAGTTCATTCTGAATCGTATCACATCTTCATGTTATATATCAGATACTTCAGATATGCAAATAGAATGACCTGAAGTCTTTTTAGAAGGATAAAAAAACAGGACAGTCTAATCATAATTCCATTGGTGGCTTACTAATGGATACATATTACACAAATTCTGAACATTATTTTAACCTTACCTAGCAGGAGTTAATTTCCTTCATTGGTCCAGTTATAACATTGGGTATGCAACTAGTGTTCCTGTGTTACATACATTTCTGTTTGACTTCTCCTGTATATTTTCCTTCACTCTCTATGACTATCTCCGCTGTCTTTTCTCAACATCGTTAAGTTCTGGTTGTACTAAAGTCACTACATACAAGTTTTGTTTCGAATGACACAATCTGTACAAGTAATGGAAGTAAACCGGATTTATTTATGTTGTTAAAACGGAAATTGCTAACTGAGCTCGAGCTCCATGGAGCCTTTTTTTCAAAAAAAAATCAAAAATCAAATTTTTAGGTATAAAAATTTCTGAAAAAATACAAATATACATATGGATATATAGTACTTGTCTGCAAAGTTTCATGGCGAAATACTTTTTTCTTTCGGGCATAAAGTATCACCTACTATTCCTCAAAAGAAAAAAGTATAAGCTACTGTTCCATTAAAGATCTCAAACAGTTCAAGAAAGATGCAAGGGTGATCTTTGCGAGAGACAGTAAGCTCAGTGATATGAGCTGCTGTAGAAGATTATAACCCTAAGTCTGAATAAGCTAGAAGAACTACTGACTGTTAGTAGATGATATGCTTACCTGGTAGAGGATTCCAGCCTCGGACAGAGCAAGGATGGTTGTGTTGACGATGAAAGTTGCTGTTGCATACCCAGCCGCCGTTGGAAGCTCATGAGGAGCAATCACCCACATGACCCCGTTCCAGAACCTCTCATAGATTGATCCGCTCTGCCCTGTGACCCACACGGACGACTCTGACATCCTTGCCAGGGAGATTCTTTTCCTTATGGGCAGGACTGGATCAGTATCCTTCTCTTGACTCGAGACGGAAGCACGGCCATGTTTGCTTTCTGGTTGCTTGATCGAGCCTACCTTTGTGCAGGTGCCGTTGATACAGGACATGAGATTGAAAGGCATGCTTATTTCCACCCAGGTATTGCTCTGCTCCTGGTACTCCCAAAACTTGTCTGTCTTCTGCTTAAACTCCGCTTCTCCCCTCGGGTTGGGATGTGGGGTGCACCATGAATGGGCAGACAAAGCAGACTCCATAACGATAAGACATGCTACAAAACACAGAAAACACGAGAGAAATCTGCAAGCTGGACCAGCCATGGCCATCTCGTAGATCTTATCCTTGGTGTCGATGCATGCCAGCGCCAGAGCCTGTCCTCTATAGCTGCGCCTCTGCGATCCTCGGGGAAGACGAAGTCTGGAAGCTAAGGCATCATGAGCCTTTTATCCGAGCATAAGCAAGAGGAGGTATCATGAGCTTCTTCGAGGAGGACCCCTCTGTACTTGTGTGTGCTGCAGTTGGAAGCACATAAGGTATGCAGTCCAGATAAATAAATATTTCAGGGGAGAGGGGGGGAGGTGTATTACTGTTGGCATCTCGGTGTGAGCTATCAACTGCCATTCGATGAAGGCCATAAAGCCATTAGCATAGCGCCTTGGTGGTTTGCTTTCCTTTTCAATAATGTTTTTCCGTCTGTAACTTTCTCACCCATCGTTGTTAATTCCTCGATAAACTATAATATCTGCATAGCAGATGGTTGTTGCACCCTCACACCCCCCACACATTTTTCAGCACTTCTCGGCGTAGTGCTGGCCCTTTATGAATAACCTTTTATGTCTATAATGTAGGGGAGGAAAAAGAAGGGCGAGGGAATCTTGAATGTTTCTATTGGACAAGTTTTGTGTAATCTGATGTTTTCTATTCAATTGGATGGAATAAAGCTAGTAGTACGCCTGTGCTGAAATCGTCCTTGTCTCCTGCTGCCTCTGAAGTCGATGGTTGCTTAGGAATTCAGATGTCCATTTGCAACTTGCCGACGCTAACCACCACCGGTGACTGCAGGGTCTTGAGAAAGGTGAAAGCAGCTCCACATTGCTGATATCATACTGCAGAATTTTTCTTGGCCCTGCTTGTCATCACTTGCTGAATGGAATATTGGGGCCTGATTGATTGATCACCCTGAGAAGGTCTCGCTAAAATTTTCGTCGCAAAAGAAGAGACAAAAAGAAGTCGGCTAAACTTCTTATGTCTGTGGGAGGGGGTAAGTGCAACGTGTGTCCTGCGTCACCCTTGACTTGCTGTTTAAATTACTCCTTCTGATCTTTCCACTATTGGTGGCAAGGAAATTCTTAATTCACTCGCAGTAATCAATAGCTAAGTCAAATATCTTGCCGCCTTGTATTTTGCCTAGTAATTTGTGCAGTCACGCAAGTGATCTCCTCTAAACTAATCTGGGGTATAATATTATTATTTTTGAAAGATCCAGCAATCGCTGGCTTCGATTCCGTATCAAGCATGGAGCAGACAAAACAAGGGTTGATCCAAAGGATCAAGGATAAAATAAGAGAAAAAATAAGAAACCTAAAAGCTGAATACTAGGGCGACATTTCACGATGGATCCCCAAAAGTGGGCTCAAGGACGCCAGACGCCAAAGATCCATAGATCTCCTGATCGCGGCCACAACGTTGTGGACAGCAGTGATCATCCCTCTGAACGTGCAGTTGTTCTCTCCTGCCAAATTTCCCAATAATACCATGATGAGCATTGATTTGATACCCTTTCTCTGGTCGGCGTTCGAGAGATCGACGATGGCAGATGAGACGTGTGTGGTTTTCTTTTCCTGCAGCCATGACATGGAGTATAATATTCCCTCCGATCTCTATTAATTGTCGCTGCTTTAGTATAACTGTACATGATATAGGTGTTGTCGTGTGACTGCCTCCCGAGTGTTTTCCTCCTCAAGACCTCATCGGTTGGTATTTTGACCAAACTAGCTGAAAACATATATCATCTTATCCTATGGATAACATCCATTTTAGCTACAATACTTTATGTTATTCGTTCCAATTTTCCCCTGTACTTTGGTGTACCCTTGTATGTTATTCATTGGAGAAAGTAATGCCAGGATCTAAACTTTAGCTTCTATGATATGTGCTGCGAATTCTGTGACCTGCCTCTAAATGATCTTTGCTCTCGCAAACAGGGCCAAACATTTGCTTTAATAACCATGAAAATTAACGTGGCGCAGACAAAATGGATACCTTAACTTGCGTGTCCAAAGGTGCACTATTTCTTTCATGAATCTATCCCCGCAGCTGGTAATGAACTAGCAAGAGATTATTGCTGGACTGTGGTCCGCGACCCTCCTGGGCCCCGCGTCGCTCTCTCCCCGGGGCGGCACGGGCGGCGACCACCGCCCCTCCCGCGGCCTCCCCAACGCCAGCCTCCTCTCCCCCTCGCCGTCGCCGGTGGCCTCCGGCAGGCAAAGCCTGCGCGGAGCCGGCGGCGGCGGGGCGCTCTCTAGCTGCTGCTCGCTCGGGAGGAGGGGCGCTCGCGTGCGGGTCGCGGCTGTCCGGCGCTTGGCCTCGTGGCGGCGTCGCTGCTCGCGGCGGAGGCGGTCTCCGGCATGTGGCGCGGCGTCTGGTCGCGGCGGTGGGCGCGCCGTCGCGGTGCGCGCGGTCACGGTCGTCGGCCTCGTGCGGTCCCGATCCGATCTGGGATCCTGCGGGCGGCGGTTGGTGCGGACGGTGTGGGGCGCCGGGGCGGCGGCCTCGGTCCGAGCTCCTGATGTGGCCAGGGCGTGGACGGCGCGCGCTCGCGCGGCGGCGGCTCGGATCCGGCTGTGCGCGTGGGGCGCGGAGACCAGCCGGGCGTGGTGGCTGCATGTGCGCGTCGGGCGCGGTGACCGGTTGTGTGTGGCGGGTGTGCTTCTCTGGAGTGCGAGGTGTGTTGCGGAGGGGGATCCTGCTCGTCTGCTCTGCTGCTTCGCCTGTGCAGCTCCGATTGGATCTGGTGCGTGGTGCATCGATCTGGGTGCTGCGCTTCGCGATGCGGCGTGGGTTGCTGCGGTGGTGGTGGCCACGGTGGTGCTGCGGTGGTGGATGGCGGCTTCGGCCAGGGGGTGGTGTGTGTCATGTTGCGGTGGATCGTGGGATCCCGTGGCCTGAATGAGGTCGGCCTCAGCAGGTGGTGGCTGGTGGGCGGCGGTCGATGGTGGTAGGTGGTCGGCGCATCTTCAGAAGAAATCTTTGCTCCGGTCTTCTTCGGAGCCGGTGACGGCGGCGCCCTCGGGTGCCGTGATCTTTCTTGGAAGCGTCATCATGGAGGTGTGCTCCTCCTCCCCACGGCTTTGACTCCGGAGGGAAACCTCAGATCCGCTGGGTCGGACGATGAAGGCGTTTTCGCGTCTTTCTCCTCTTTGGGGGCATTGTCTCGGAGCCGGCTACGACTGGGAGACTGGTGGTTTGCAGCATCTTCGCCGTGGATGGCGGCATCTTCGTCGCGTGGTTTGCTGAGGCGGGGCGCTGGTTTCTGTTTGGCAACGATGATGTCGTTGAGAGGAGCTCGGGTCGCGGCGTGGACTTCGGTAGTCGGTTCTTCCCGGCGTGTCCGAGGTGCTCTTCTGTGGGCACGATCGGCGCAAGTCTTGCATATTTCCCTGGTGAGGCTCGTCATCAAAATCGGAGCTGTCAGTTGCTTGCGCGTGTGGCCATCCGGTGGCATGTGCCGTCGTGGCTTCTATACAGTTGTTTGCAGGTTGGCTTCGAGGTTGGAGCTCTATGATGAAGTCGGAGTCGCTCGTTCGAGGCAACCGGTGATGACGATGACGTTTGTGACTTCTCGGCGAATGCCTTTCTTCTTTGCAGCTTTGTGTCCCATGTCGGTGGCCAGGTTGGCCGGTGGTGCCCATGTCATGTGGGTTGAGTTGTATCGGTTTTAGCCCGGTTTTCCATCAATTAACCTGGCAATTCTTTTCTTCTTAATCAATGAAAATGGCAAATCTTTTGCCTCGTTTAAAAAAAAATTGCTGAACCAGCTCGCCATAAGTCATGTAGATATGATATATGCACATAGCACAGTGGTGGCTAGCTTCTACTTACTCATTAGATCTGCTTGCTAAGGTTGGTGCTCCTTCTATGAATTCATCACTGCCATGGCATGATGAATAGCTCCGAAGTTTTCTCGCAAAACAAAAAGGAGAGGCAGGTCATCATCTTTCACGAGTTTATGACGACAATGCAAATATACGAGAGCGCTATGTAAATAAGGATAGAGTGAGTAGCATTAGAATTTGGTTTTAAGTGTTGCTAATGTAGGAGTTTTTTTTTAACTAGTAGTTGGGGTGTCACCCTGCGACGCCGTTTGAGAGGAAGCTATGCGCACGTTTTCATTTAGAAAATATACATAGAGTCCTCGCCTCTGTCTAAAAAACATCTTAGAAAAAAAAACATCACCTTCATCTAAAAAAGAAGTAAAAAAGAAAAAGAATATCTCTGCAGCCTACCAGCGAGTGCCACTTTGCATAACCCTCCATTTAAAAAATACCTGAGGTCCTCGCCTCCATCTAAAAAGAAAAATACATTTTAAAAAATTCCAACAGATTTCTCACCGCGGCCAACCAGCTTGCGCCACGTGGCATAGCTGGTTGGCCGCCCTTCACGCGTAGCTTAGA